ATCAACTTCAGATTAATTCATTAATCAATAACTTGCATCCTTAAGGAGTTAATTTATATCTACTTATATTCATGTAATTAAGCATTTTAATGATTTGGCCGATTAATCGAAAAAATAATGGACATATTAATCGATTATTAAAATAACCGTTAGTTGCAGCCCTAGTAGAGAGTGCATGTCACAGACACTTTAGAGGCATTTCTGAGGAAACTAGAACTGTTTGTTAAAGTTAAACAGTAAAATTAGCATGTTTACCAAAAATATGTTATATGTTCCTAAATGCTGGTTTAATCAGTATTTGTATCAGTATAAATYAATGAGAATGATCTAGTTTGATTATGCCGGTAATAAACAGAACTTGTCATTTTATTTATTTTCCAATCAGGTTCATGCCAAGTGGGTTCAAGACACGGATGCCTTCAATGAATGGATGAATGAGGAAGACTATGAGGTGGATGAGAACAAGAAGCCAGTCAGCTTCCGACAGAGGATCTTCCCCAAAGAGGAAGAGGTAGATGTTTGTGTTGTGAGTGTTTGACTTTTCACTTTCAGGTTTAATAAGAAGACTTTAGTTGCAGCCTTTTCACATTTTAAATACTACTTTTTAAATTTCTGCACTGTATGAAAGCTCAGTGACTTGTTTTAGTTTAAGAGCTTGTGTAAATGCTTTTAAATTATGATGTTTTGTCGCGAGCTTCTATTTTGTTGCGTGTAGCTTTGCTGTGTGGATTGTTCTTTGTCGTCTTCCTTTGTTCACCTCTGGCTTCAGTCAGTTTGTCATCCTTTTCATCCTTATCCTCTCTCTTTGTCCTTTTTTATAAACAAATTTCAGGGTTCCTGTCCATGTTTAGTGAAAGGATGAATATATTATTTTATGAAGTTTGACATTAACCCAGTTAAATTGTATTAAAAATTGAACTCACCACACTTTTTTAACTTTAAAGCCACATTTTTTAATATATGAGAATTTTATTTTACTATATTAGTTGTTTGAAAGCAAAAATGACAACTGGAGCAAGTTGAGTCTCGTTTATATATTTTTTTTTTTTTGGTGAGCTGTCAAGTGTTCAGGAACCCTGTTTGTGTCCTCCTCCACCCAACATCCTCCCCCCTACCTGCTGTTGTCCTCCCAGTGCTTCCCCTCCTTGTGTGTGCGGCCAATCCATCCTCTCATTCTGCGGCTCTTTCTCTCATCCTCCATCCCTCGCTTCCTGCACTGCTCGGGGTTTGTCTGATCAGTCTTCCCGTACACCCGATCGCAAGGAGCGCAAGTCAAACTCTGCCGGCAAGAAGAGGAGACGCTCGCCCTCGCCACCCAGCACTCCCGCGGAGTCCCGTAAGAAGGGAGGAAAGAGGGGGTAAGAAAACCCTTTTATGCTATGAATCAGATTATATACTGTATGTTCTTAACTGTTTTAATACAGCTCAAAATGTAAACAGAGAAAACAGCTGTTCTTTAATTAGTCACTTGTTTTGTTTTTGTTTGTTTTACGTCTTTGAGTTTACAGTTGTCTTGACTTTTTCCCAGTTCAGTAAAATATTTTTCTTTTCCAATAGAAGTTGGTGTTTTGCTCTGAGTTTTTAGTTTTGATTTTACTGACCTTATATCCACCTCCTCTCAGGAGCTCGGGGCCACACTGGAAGCGACGAGGCCACAGAGGAGAAGAGGAGGACACAGAGGAGGACATGACGAAGGACTTGGACGACTCCTCTGCTGGTGCCAGCATGGAGGACGGCTGCGTGTCCAAAAATAGTACGTACTGAAGGACAGGATAAAGCAGGATGCTCCCTTAGCACGTCACACAATTTCTTTAAATAACAAGCTTGAAGCATTAATACATTACATTTTGTTTATACTACAAAACAAAAGTTGCTGATTTTGAGGAGTGTAAATAATGTTTTTTTAATAAACTATAAAAAGGCTTTGGATCATTTGCTGATACAGGCTAGTCTTCACAATTAGTTTTAGCATCAGAATTTTGTGATATTTGATGGTCAGTTTGTTTTTGACCTAAGTAGCAACTAACACACCATACCACAAGCATACATTGTTATTTACCTAAATCTGTTTATTTCCAGATAAACACAAATTACACACGATGCACTTCTTTCTTTCTTCCATTTATAGCAAACTCTAAAAAAGATAGCGAGAACACTCCAGTCAAAGGAGGGAATGTGGCAGACTTAGGTTTGTATATTTTAAATAGTATAAATATCTATATTCATCATAAAGAGCTGGGATAAATATTTTAACTGTGTTTATAATCTTAGCTGAAGCTTGATTTTATTTTTTCCAGATGACATGGAAGATGATTCTGTGCTGTCTGGTGGAAAGGTACGTACTTCAGCACGTAAAGGTCACCTTTCAGTTACTGCACAAGGAACTTAAACTAAAAAAATAACTAAATTTTTTATAATTTCCATCAGAACAATGTTTTTATTGGTGAATAAAATATTGTTCATATTATATTGTGCATCTGCCCAATTAGAATCATTTAGAATCAAAATTATATATTTTTTCCCTCTAAAGAAGTGTGGATTTTCATTAGACTACAACTTCATTGGTAAAAAAAAACTGCCATATGCTAATGTCTGCAGGATGATGAAGAACAAGGCAAAGGAGAAGTGAACCGTCTGGATGCCAGTGAGGACAATGTTACTGAACAAACACACCACATCATCATCCCAAGTTATGCCGCCTGGTTTGATTACAACAGGTAAACTGCAGAAAYAAAAACATCATCCTTTGTGTATTAGTCTAAATAAATACATTTCTGTAAATTTTATTTCTTTTTTTTTGTAGCATCCATCAGATTGAGAGAAGAGCCTTGCCTGAGTTCTTCAATGGGAAAAACAAGTCCAAAACTCCAGAAATGTAAGTTTATATCCACACATTAAAATATTAGCTCCTTCCTTTTTTATATGATGATTTAAGCATTTTTTGTCGTAACAATTTGTTTGCTATCTCCTGAACAGATATTTGGCCTACCGTAATTTCATGATTGACACATATCGGCTGAACCCTCAGGAGTACCTCACCTCCACTTCCTGCCGCAGAAACCTGACCGGGGACGTCTGCGCCATTATGAGGTGTGCTGAATCTTGGGTTTGTCTGGATTATATCAGTCAATTAAACCCCAGTTAATTTCTGATTATGAAATGTTCTGCAGATGATCATTTAAAAGTGCTAAAGCAGTTCAAAAATCAAAGTGTAATGACAGTATAGAAATAGAGCTATACACTTGATAAATAAAATACAATGTTATAAATGCATAAAAAGGACAGAAATGGTCAAAATAATAGAAATTAAATCATTTTATTTTATCACATTTAGAGTTCATGCATTCCTGGAGCAGTGGGGTTTGGTAAACTACCAGGTGGATGCTGAGAGTCGCCCACTGCCTATGGGACCCCCACCCACACCCCACTTCACTGTCCTGGCTGATACCCCATCTGGCCTCATGCCCCTCAACCACCGACCCCCACAGGTAAGAACACCCCACTTAAAGAAGAAAAGTCAGGAGGTCACAAGAAATAAMAGATTGTTGCAATAAACAAAGTCAAGCAAGTTGTTCTTTTTAAGGAGTTCCCCTTTGATGTCACTTCCTGTTTCACTTTGATCGCACCAAGTTAAACTAAAAATATGCTAATTATGTGACGAATGTGTTAAGGTTCCTAAATAAAGATGTTTTCTTCCACTTTTAGTATTTGAAGGAAATGCCTGTCACAGACTCTTTGAAATGTTTCTTCATGTTTGTTTTTTGCAGATTCCTCCTCCGCAGCCGATGCCCAACTTTGCAGATAAAAGCAAAGACAAACCAATTGATTTGCAAAACTTCGGCCTCCGGCCCGACCTTTACAAGAAGAACGCTAAGGTAGGAGGATGAGCTGGGGTATAAATCTAGCAGCTACACACGTGTGTATATGATAATTTCGTTATGGAGACATTGTAAAATCATGTAATTTGTGTAATCTGATGGTTATTTGACTTTTGTTCACAGCCGGGGAAAGGAGCCAGCACCACCAGAGACTGGACGGAGCAGGAGACTCTGCTGCTGCTGGAGGTGAGTTTAAACAAGTCTCTTCCTCTAATTTCATGCTCTTCTTTTTACCAACCTTTAATCATTTTTAACGTTTTGTGGACCTCACTCTTCTGTACTTTTCCACCTTGTCATCTACTTGAGAAGCTTACAAATTCTGTTTGACTAAGACACACATCTCCACTCCGCTCACAGGCCCTGGAGATGTTCAAAGACGATTGGAACAAAGTATCGGAGCACGTCGGTTCACGCACCCAAGATGAATGCATCCTGCACTTCCTTCGGCTGCCCATAGAAGACCCTTATCTTGAGAGCACCGAGACCTCTATGGGCCCTTTGGCCTACCAGCCCATCCCCTTCAGCCAGTCTGGAAACCCTGTCATGAGCACAGTAGCYTTCCTGGCCTCTGTTGTAGACCCCAGAGTGGCTTCTGCTGCTGCCAAGGCAGCCTTAGGTGAGAACTCGTGGGCAGAAGCAAACAGATTAAGAATGGATTTGTTCGTTGTTGATTTAAGTAGCATTCACTGTTCTAACATCTAAAATAGTTTCATTTCTGTTGGCTCTTGGTGAGATACTGAAAACGTGTTTTTTGCAGAGGAGTTCTCTCGCGTGCGTGAGGAGGTGCCGGCCGAGTTGGTGGAAGCCCACGTGAAGAAGGTGCAGGAGGCGGCRAGGAGCACGGGCAAGGTTGACCCGACGTTTGGCCTGGAGAGCAGTGGCATTGCTGGAACTGCGCCCGAAGAACCGGAAAAGACCGGTGAGCAGAAGAGATGCTGAAAGTGTGACGTCTGAACTTGGTCAGGTTGTGGAAAGAMAAGCCCGGCAGTTTGATGGCAGCCACCAGAGGGCAGCACATACACACAATACCGAGAAGACAATGTTTGGGTGTAAGCAGTTTTTAGGAAAATGGATAATCTGAGGATGTTAAAGCTGAACTAGGAACAGTCTTTATTAAACTGTCAGTCACTCTCTTTATGTTACATGAAGGTGATAGGCAGCCATTTTTGTTGAGCAGTTCAGATTTTGGTGTGTTTTATTCTGTTGTGGTAACCAGTGGATTAAAACAACAACAGCAGCAGATGGGACAGAAGGATGGGAGGAGGGARAACAGAAAACTGGGTCATCACTCTATTCGCTTATGATTTTCTCTTCGTTTGGCTTTGTGCTGTCTTGGAAACTGGTGTTCACTTTAACCGCTGCTCACATGATTCCAGACCAACAAAAAAAGCAGCACTCATGCTGGAATTACTGCTCTCATGACCTACAGTTAAAATCAATAAGCTTTAAAGTGTTCCATGTCTCACTTTGCCCAAAGCACTCGCCTGCCACAGAATCAATATTCAAACTCTTAATATATGTTTAAATGCAAACATCATCCTGGCACGTGTGTAGCTGCTACGCTGGAAAGATACTTTTTGACCGATCCCTCCTGTGTTTAAGTGATGCTTATATTTTCTTTTATTGTGTCACTTATAGAAGCTACAGAACCAGAAAAGATGGATACAGATACAGACTCCCAGCAGGCTGATAAGGTGAGACAGCCTCTGGTTTTTAATGTTTTTTATTTTAGATTTTTGAAAGGTTTGATCTCGAGTAAATATTGGTCTTTTCAGACACAGTGATTTGTACCTCACTCTGCTCAGAAAGTTGTGAGGACAGACCTATCAATTGTACCTGCCTCTCATTGTTGTTTTGTTTTTGTCCTTCTCGTTCAGGCTGAGTTGAAAGATGAGGCAGAGAAACCCAGTGAGTCTGCAGAGAAGAGCGACAAGACMGAGACAACCGAAAAGGTGAAGAAGGAGGGAGGGGAGACATCAGAGCGTGAAGAAGAGAATGAAGAAGAGGAGGAGGCTAAAGTAGCTTCTGCAGGTAAAAGAACATTAAAAACCTAAAATAAAATGTCCCAAATTTCTGCCTTTTCAGCATGGAAATATAATCTTATTGCCTCATATTTTCAAATATCTGTTGCTGTTGCATTTTATGAATGCAGACAGCAGACATACATAGTTCAGGCCTTGCTTTAGATTGAAATAAAAATGAGTACTTTTAAGTCTTTATAATGTTATTGTTTGTTTCTCCTAATTTAATTAGTGCACATTTTTAAATTATGAAAATGTAATGTTTAAACTTAKTATTTCATCCCTTTCAGACAAGGATAAGGAGGAATCTATGCAAATCTCTTCAGAGCCAGAGAAGGAGAATGAAGAAAAGGCAGCTACAGAAGAAGGAGAGGACAAGAAGAAGAAGCTGGAGCATGATATTGGAGAGGGGAACATTGCCACTGCGGCTGCCGCTGCTCTGGCATCTGCTGCCACCAAGGCCAAGGTGAGGCCTGTGCATTGTGTCTTCATTATGTTTGTTCTGACTTCTCTGAGGCTGTGTTTCTTGTGAACACTACAGCTGAGGGCATTTAAAATACAGTGACAGTAAAGTGCACACAGTGGAGGAAGATCTATGCTGAAAGCAGTGTAAAATGCTGTTGTAAATTCTATGACATTTGCTTATAAACTGACTTGATTTTCCTCAGCACTTGGCTGCAGTTGAAGAAAGGAAGATCAAGTCTCTGGTTGCTCTGCTGGTGGAAACTCAGATGAAGAAGCTGGAGATCAAGCTGAGGCACTTTGAGGAACTTGAGACCATCATGGACCGTGAGAAGGAAGCCGTAAGTCAAGTTTGTTTCAGTAGCATCAGTCGACCAAAGTGCTTCACAACGTATGAACTGTAAAACAGTTACTATTTATCCCTTTTAAGACTTAATCCTAGTGAGAAAAACTGGAGTTTTAAGCATTGATTAACCGATTATCAATGATCTGGACCAAAGGTTTTCAAATATTTTAGCTCCCGACCCACAAAGTGATCAGGACAAGGATTTGTGACATATCTATTAGAATTTAAATTATACAAAAACTACTAATAACATGACATTTTTCTAGTTTTCTGCTATCATTGTACTTTYCAGAAGCTTTTTCACATCAACAGCAGAGTGGAAATGAGAGAATATCTCAGTCATATTCTTGTTTGCACAAGAATTACTTTTATTAAAATGTTCAAATTGAAACATTTACTAGAATCTTTTAATAATTTTAATGTCCATCAGGTACACTTTGTGGAATTGCAGAAAAGTAACCCTGTCTTACTGCCCCATTTCCCTGATTGCTGTATTGATGAAGTAGCCAATAAATATTTACTCCATTAGCAGATGATCCAACTAGATGTGTTGCTTCTCAACAAGTCCAAGATTTCCTCAGAGACAAAGTATGAATTCTTTATAAGGAAGCCAAGTTGGTAATAAAATATTCTCAGGAGCAGAACAGTTGTTTATTGATGCTGTTTCAACAGTTAAGTGTCTTGACGGGACAAATTAATGATTTAGCTGGTGTGTGTTTAAGTCTGTGTCCTGTCTGGAACAATCCCTGGGGACACTAGTTCAAGTATAAAACTGTGTTTTCTTGGTGGTGACGTCTGGAGCAAAGCCCAGTTTCACAGCTGCGAACGCTGCATGAAAAGAGCTGTTTTTAAAAAAGAGGAGAACTGGAGTCAAACCAGTTCTGTGCTGCTAATTACACACTGAGGCTGTAAAGATCCACACAGTACAGAAACGAACACCATCAGGTTTTTGGAGACTTTATATGGTAAGAGGACAAAAGAACCTAAGCTTAGACTTTTCATGTCTTATAAAACCATTAGAATCGTGTTAAAAGTGAGTTGTTTGCATTAAAGACAGTTGTTTTGTGCAGTTGGAACTTCAGCGGCAGCAGCTCCTCACCGAGCGACAAGCTTTCCACATGGAGCAGCTGAAATACGCCGAGATGAAGGCGAGGCAGCAGATGGAGCAGCAAGCTGCTGCTGCTGCAGCCGCTGCAGCCCAGGCTCAAGGGCAGGGGCAGGCTCCTGGGTCAGGGCCCCACCCCGGCCCCCATCCACCGGGCATGCACCACGGAGGTCCCATGCCTCATCACGGAGGGCCTCCTCCTCACCACGGAGGGCCCCCGCCCCACCACGGAGGACCTGTTCATCACGGAGGGCCCCCGCCTCATCATGGAGGACCCCCGCCTGGAGCTGCAATCCACCACGGATACCCCCCAATGGGTCACCACCCCATGGCTCCTCACCACYCAGGACAGACCGGTGAGACGCTTGACTCTTCTTGTAAAAACAATTTTTAAATATAAACACACACCAATATTTTGAATATTGATTTAAATAAATAAATGAAATATATTGGCTTTTAGTTAAATACATAAAAATTTCTTTAAATATTTGAGTGTTTCATGCTTTTATTTTTTTAAAAAACAGATGAATATGTGTAGATTTCAAGCTATTTATGTAAATAATTTAAATCTTGCTCATCATCTCTGTACGGTCCAAACTGCAGGACCAATGGAACCAGGTCAGCCGATGCCGGGACGTATGATGTCTGGTCCCCCYTCTGCCGGCCCCCCTCCTGGTGGCATTCCTCCCATGATGCCCCCACGCCACCCTGGAGCCCCTAACGGCATGTGTGAGTACAAAACCCCTTTTTTGTTGTCYAAACAATTTAGCCAAACCAGTATTATAATTTGAATTCTGTGTTCCTAAAATGGAGAAAAACAAATTATTTGATAAACAGCTGGTTTTCAGTGCAGATGTCAACTGCAGCTTTGGATCATTGCTGCTCATCAGCATCACATCAGAACTGCAGTCTGCATTCATTTCACTAACTGTTAATTCCAAAGCCACTTTAGCAATTAATAAATAGCAACACATTAGTTTACAGCTGTTAGACGTCTTTACACTTTAACAGCTGCACTTAGTTTGTGTTTTTTAAAAGGTTTACTAATTAAATCTTTCCAGCATTTTGTTTTCCTTGATGTTTAAAAAATTGTAAGAAGCTAATTGTTATAATAACAGAACCACAGTCGTTAAAATTATCAAGTTATACTTTCATGAAAAAAAAATTGAATAAATTATTACCCCACATTTTAGAAATGATAAATGAGTGTTCAAATTGTTATCAATTGTAATTCAAACTTYTGTTTGAATTAAAATAAAAAAGATATAGAAGAGATTTATCCAAATATTTTATTTTGTAAAAAGGAAGAAAAAAAACACTGCAGACTCAAAACTGGTTTGAAGAAGACGGATTATAAAAATATTATCTGTGGTAGTACATGAACTAGACTTTAGATCAAAGGCTGTAAATATCCAGACCTTTGACTGGAATCTAGAAGTTTAACCTGGAACAGGAACGGCTTTCCTGTAGACGTGACCCACATATAAAACAACACAACATTGCTGTTCGWAAAAAAATACAGATAATACACGTCAGATATTGTTTTTAAGATGTGGATTCTTGTTGGGTCACACAGTTCTGAAGTTATGGCACGGTGTGAGGGCCAAAATTAAGACTATTGCGCAACCAGTGGTTGCTACATCCTTGTAGCCGGAGGCTGCATCTATTCTTAAGCTTATTCTTAATTGATCAGATTAATGATGATAGGCCAGCACCACTAACTGAGAGGCCGATGCTGGCAAATATGAAGGAGACTATTCATTTCCGTTAGCAGTGGAGAGGCTAGCAACTAGCGTTGATAAGCTGGCGTTAGCATTGGAGAGGCTAGCGACTAGCATGCCTCAGCTGCTCACCTACTTTATTAGATACTGACTTTTTAAAAAAAATAAAACTCAACAAAAATACACAGACTCTGGTTCCAAAAGTACAAGATGGCAGTTCCCTTAAACTAGGTCTTGCTGGGTTTGATTTCTAACGAGAGAAGACAGACACTTTATCTATGAGGTCTGTGCTCTGAAGGTAAATGACTGATTGTTTGCCACCATTCATTTTTCATAAGGAGTTTGAACTCATTGTAAAGGCTGGACTTCATCATTCATCCAGCTGACGATCAGACACAGAGGACCACCTGGAAAGATTGTTTTCCTTGTTCTTAAACTGGCTTCCTGGTCTCTCCAGATCCTGGACCCCCGCCTGCACAGCCTGAAGCAATGCCTCCAGCTCCTGTGGGTCCTCCAGCTCCTCAGAGTGGACGAGTGGCCGATAACTAAAACCCACACACAAAAGCACACAAGCTGTCTTTGAACACGAGCCCCTTTTTAATGATTTTTYTTTTTGTTATCTGCTCAATATTTCTCCCTTTTTGACATTAAAGCAGCCATAAACATCATCCTGTTCCACACAGACTCACACTCAGGGTTCAACAGCAAAAGCAACCCGTTTTCTCACACACACACACACACACACACACACACACACACACACACACACACNCACACACACACACACACACACACACACACACACACACACACACACACACACACACACACACACACACAGACAGACTTCCTCTCAGGGCATAGAGGCGAGGTTCTTCTAGTAATAAACACTGTTTTCTGCTCTGTTGGGCAAAAGGGAGGCTGTAGACAGAGACCCAGTGTACATAAAACCAAGTAAGGAGACAGAAATAATAATAAAAAAACAATAATAAAAAAAAAGAGTTCTCCCCTTCTTCACTGTAAAAATAAAATTTTTAGGCGACACTGTAACTATCAAAAAAAAAAAAAACCCAAAACATTAAAGCTTCTTGTCTCTCCAAGACGAACACCAGGGGGAGTCTGTGAGACCAGAGGGTGAGTGGGACTTTCAGGGGTCCGTGTGCTGAGCTGGAACACATCAGGTGCACAGATTCAGACAGTGCCATGAATAAAAGACACACAGCCCACCCTCCTTATCAAGTATCTACCTCTCGCTCCACTTTAAACGATACACTGTAGTTCTGTGTGTGATTGTGTGTAACACAGGGCATGTGTGATGACGGCGTGCGCCTGTTTTTAAACTCATTTCCACTTCTGGACTAATGGGTTGGCGCATGAGAACAGATTGAAAGGCAGATAGTTTGCATACACAGAAGTAAAGAAGACTCTGCTGTTCTGTAGCTACAAAGTTAATAATTTAGAAGTGCAAGTCTGACTTGATGAAGATGTACATTTCAGCTGCAGATTGATCTTATTCTGAGTTTGTGAGCAGGATTGGGTCAAAATAAACCATCGATACAGGGCTCAGTGATTTGCTCTGTGGCACAAATGAATTCATTCTTAATTTGTTCCATCCCAAACATGAAAACAAACGTTACAGCTCTGGTTGGCTTAAGAGGCCTTCAGACATTCCTCCTGCTGTCGCACCACCCGCAGCACTGGAACACACACACAAATGTTCAAGCTGAAGCTCAGGCAGACACTGGAGGCTGCACAGACACACACACACACACACACCCCTGCTGACCTTCACACAGCCTGTACAAAGTGATGCGGGTCGACCAGAACATCTAAACGTGACAAACGCTCTTCCTCAGCACAGTGGGCTTCATGGTGCTGGTCCTGTAGCGATTCAAGCCTTTTCCCTCTGCTCTGTCTCCTGCCTGCCTCACTAATCTGCCCCTCATCTTCACACCTCCTGCTTTTTCGGCCACTGAAACWCACCTATGTCCTTCTGTGAGCTACCGGTTTCTTTTGTTTGAGCTGCGTGACAGTTATTCCTCAGATCCTCAGGATACTGTGACTGAAAGATACACAAGGGAGCAAACCACTGAACTGTAATATTTAATGATCAATAATTCACGAGAGGTTTAACAAGTGAAAAATTCCAAAATTGTATTTATTCTAAAGCTGCTTAGAGCTTTACGATATGATTAATTGATCAGCCCTGAGTTTAGACGGACAAAAAATATATATATTAATGTAAATGTTAAGTTGTGGCCTATTTGTTTTCATGATCAGTTAATTGTAAAACTATCATGTTTTGTTGTTTAAAGGCCCATCGTTGTTAAAGCAGTTATAATGCTGAGAAAAGGTTAAGTTGGTGTTYAGTAATTTAGTTTCTTTAAAGCTGAATTGCCACTGCGCCATTATACATTGTCAGAGGATGATGAAAACTCAGTTGCTTTTTGTTTGAGGGTTTAAAGACCGTAAAGGTTTAGTGAAATTAATCATTACACTGAAGTTTGTTGAGCTTCACTTCCTACGAGACAACTGTTGTTGACGTTTAAAACTGTAGACAGTCTCATCTTTTGCTTCTTTTGTAAAACATTACTGAGGAAATATTAGGCCATCTTTGATAGCTGTTTGCTTAAAAAAATAGTATTTTTATTTAGATATTAGTGTTCAACTTGTAGGTTGGCTTTAAAGTAACCTGTTCACGCAAGTCACGAATAAACTTTTTTTTATTGTGAATAATTAAAAACTGCTTATCCCGTTTTGCTAGCACTGTTAGCATCTCTGCTACCTCCTCCTCCACCTTCATCGGCTAGCTACCTCTTCTAGAAGTTTTCCTCTTACTGCCTGCTACCTCTCACACCCTTTTTGCTACCTCTCGTGCACCTTTCCTTCTTTTCATTTCCTCTTTAATCTTTTGTTTTGGTGTGTGCCGCCCACATGACTGCTGCGTCGCCTCTTCTCCCCCCCTCCGCCTGCAGGAGGAAGGAAGCAAGCGTTCGTTCACTCTCGTTCACCTCACCCTCTGTTCCTAAGTTTTAACATCTCACCAGGCTTGTGATGTAACTTCATTTAGAGAAAAGAAATTACCCCTAACATATATTATCTTTAAATAATGTTTTTTTGTGTGTGTGTTAATGGTGATGTATTTTTAAGGAGAAATTTTGTGTAGATGAGTTTTCTCTGTTTGTAGCATTTGTTCTTTTTTTTGTATGGGTTCTGTTGGTACTTGGACCTAGACACTGTCAAATAAACTGTTTTCTATAACGTTGATGTCTAACTTTTACTGTTTTCTTTTCTCATCTCTTCAAATATTTA